CAACATGTATTGATAGTTAGTCAACTAATTTTTCCATCCAATAATATGTTTTGATAAAAAAATTAAATGTTGGGGCTTATGGTGGATCCAAAAATATTTTTCAAGGTGGACACACACATATATATATTAATGAGATAAAAATTTTATACATGGTAAACATAAATAAAATTTTAGGGTGGGCACAACCATTTTAACATGTAATTATTCGAAGAAAATTTAGATTTCAGGGTGGGCATAGGCCTACTCCAAATCCTTAATGGATTCACCACTGGTTAGAGCTAAAATACTAAAAAAATAATAAAATATGAAGTAAAATGACTGTTTGTACAAATTTTGGATATAATTTTCTTATAAAAAATATTTCTAAACTTTATAAGAATTTAAAATTTTCAGTAACCCAGCTAATCTCTATTGCTCTGCCTCTGCTCATATTTTGTTACCTAGACACCCATCGTCTCAATTTGCTCAACTCTCAAGGTTTGAATCCAAATTTATAAAATGTTTGTTTAGAAATAGTTATACGAATCAGTTAAACTAAATTCATCATAATTATACATTATTTAAGAATGATATTAAGAAGATCCTGTCGTGAATCTTGTGACTTGTGATCTTTTTAATGCATTAACAAATGGACTTTGATAAATATGCGTACGCAATAGGATATGAATCATGTGATTATTCACGGTTCTAACTGATTAACACAATAATCTTAACTTACATTGAGAAACTAAGTAATTAAAGATAGAGACAAAAAAATGATCGAATGAACGTTATTGTAAGGGAAGAGAGATTGGACCTAAAAAACTTTTGTCATAAATCATTCGAGAAAAAATTCATTTCATGCGTTGGTGGGACAAATGACAAGCCGAATGATGTGTTAAAACACACCCAATGTCAATCCCACATGCCATCCCCATACATATCACCGTAGTAATTTGTATATGTTATATATTTTTAGGGTAAAGTATACGAATGGTCTCCGACTATAAGGTATTATTTAGTTGAATGTTTCGATTATTAGAAGCTACAAAATAGTCTCCGACTATAGGGAGTTATTTTATTGAGTCTTCTGATTATTAAAAGTTACAAAATGATTACTCGACTATTTATATGTTTCAAACTCATCATTTTCTATTTAAAAGTTGGTGGTCGTCTAAGCTGAACATTAACTTATTAATTGATATATGATAAAATATGATCCCAAAACCGTTTGAGCTGCATTTTATGGATTGACTCTCTGTTTATATTATATCGTCGAGCCAATGCTGAAAAGCAACAACGGTGTCAGTATACATCATTGAAATATGATTTATCATATCCAGTCGACATGTTAACATCTGTCTCAGACGATCGTCAATTTTTTAACGGAAAAAGATAAGTTTGGAACATATGAATAGTTGAGTGACCATTTTATAGTTATTAATAGTCGAGTGACAACACCCTATAGTTAAAGATCATTTTATAACTTTTAATAATTGAATGATTCAACAAAACAACGTCTTATAGTCAGTGAACTACTTATATACTTTACTCATATTTTTATTGTATTATCATCATTATTAAAAATAAAAACGGGTCGAATAAGATAGATTTAAGGTGATAGGCTTTGTATTATTCTTTGAAACGTTTTCTTTGCTAGCTTGTTTTGTGGGGCATCACAAAGGGATTATGAATTGGGCATTTCGGTAGCATAGCTCGTTTTTTCTTTTCTTTTTAGTGGCAATTGAGAATCCGTAGTTTTCGTTGCTATATGATGATTGACGGAGTTACGTACGCATACACTCTTAGAACATAACATGTGAAGGGGGTAAAGGGGACAACGGTTCAAATTCGATTAATCTATTTATGAAAACTTATGGCTACTTTTCTTCTTAATAATAATAACTTCAGGTTAAAAACTAACCATCAGATGACTTTAGTTTTAAAAGAAAATATTGTTTTTTTAAGGTCATGTATTTAAATAGCTACGTTTGCAGAATGTGTGTGCGTTGTCAATTGGATAAAAAAGTTTTGAATAGATATTACTCTATAATCATCTCAAATTATTAAAAATTAAAAACCATTAGGTTAATTACATACCATATAAATGGGTTATAACTAAAATCGATAATTGAACTTATTTAGTGTTTTTATTAGGGTTCTTCTTAAAAAACTTAAGTTTGAGCAATCGCGTATGTAAGATGTGCTTGTATTGTCAAAAGTTAATTTTTTTTAATAGGTATTACTTTATAATCATCCTATACTATTTAAAAACAATGATAGTGTGCTGAGAAAAAACGAAAAATCATGAATTCCATACATAATAAAAAAATATGGTATATTTATTTTTCATTAGATAGTGAGCGGAGGTCCCGAATATCCCATTTTTATTACTATATGAAACTGTTACATTTTTATAATTATTCAGTTTAGTTAAACATTTGAAGTATTTTTATTTTTGTTTAAATCTGAATTAAAAATTGATATGATTTAATTTTAAAAAATTAAAAATGAGTTTTATATTGATATTTTTTATGAATTAAATTAAAATTTCCAAAAATATTAAATTTAAAATATTGGAAAGATTTCTCTTTTGGACTCATTATTATTTGCTTCCCAAACCTTCTAACGTGTGTGGTCGACTCTCTTTATTCCACTCTTTCAAGCGATCATTTATTTGGAAAATAAATTATTTATTTTTATAAATTTTTAGTAAAACAAATATTAGACTTTTAAAGAAAATTAAGGGTTCGAATCTTGATATTTACAAATGAAACAAACTAAGTTGGGAGGAGGTCGCCTCTATAATAAGTGTCTGTAGAACTCAATCTAGATTAATCAATCAATAAATCAGATACGAACGATTAATTAAAAAAATCTCGGTCATATGATAAGCTATACAAAATTCTTTTATATATATATATATATAATTATTATACTTATTTAATAACGATGTACTCTAATTTTAGAACTTAATTAGGGGAAATGGAAGTAGAAAAAATAGAGATTTAAAAATGATATCAAATTAATCAGAGAATTAATAATGCTTTTATAATGTACATGAAATTGTTGACAGTTGAAATTAATCTTGATAAAGTTATCAACAGTTATCAATGATTTTATTCTAATTTTCATTTTTTTCTTTGTAATTTTAAGATTAAACTGAAATAAAATTAAAGTACAAGGACTAAATACAAATTTTATAAAAATATTATAATAAAATTAAATAATGAGTTTAACCAAGGCGCCTAAAATTCACTTAATGTTGGTTTATCAAATTTTTTATTTTAATCTTTTATTTTAATTTTTTATAATTTAGTACTAAAATGCAAAAAAAAAAGTAAAGTTGTCCTCATCTACGAACAATCATACTAAAATAATTCTCATTTACCAACAATGTTATCAATCACTAAAAACAATCCATATTTTCCCAATTAATATGATATCATCTCTAAATCTCAGATTTCTTTTCCAATATTTATTTCCCCTAATTTTACCTTAATTCTATTTTTAAAATGAATCAAAGAAAATATTTATTTCATCGACAATTGTCTACGATTTTACTGTAATTTTCTTTTTTTTTCTTTTTATAGTTTTAAGATTAAATTGAAATGAAATAAAAATATAAGGACTGAATAAAAACTTTATAGAAATACTATAATAAATTGAAATAATGAGTTTAATGAAGTCACCCAAAATTCACTTAATTTTGGTTTATGAAATTTTTTATTTTCCATTTTTATCGTTTTATAATTTAGTATCAAAATAAAAAAAAATGAGTGAAATTATTCTCATCTACGGACAGTTTACTAAATAATTTCATTTTATCGATGACTTTAACAATCACCATAAAAGTATCTTTATTTTTTAATATGATATCATCTCTAAATATCTTATTTTTTTCAATATTTATTTTCCCTAATTTTACATTAATTCTATTTTTGGAATGAATAAAAAATATGATTTGTTTCATCAATAGTTTTAGATAAAAATAATAATTTAAAAAATTTCTTACATCACACTTTTATAATTCTTTTTCTTTTACCCTCTCGGTTCTCTAGAGCTTTACCCTGATTAATCCAGACCAACCCGTATTACACATATGACTTTGATAGGTAAATCTCCCTGTAAAAGTTTCTGCATACACAAAACCTCGAATTCAAGACTTATTTAAAAGACATTAAGCTGCTTATCACCAACCCCTGTTGGTACACTTTATATAATTCTTTTATAAGGAGAACTTACCCTTGAAACTTTTTAACTTACAAAGGAATTTAAAAATCATATTGAGCAAGTATATTTAATCGGTTGGTTAAGCTGTTCATTTTTATTCTCTCATATTCGCTTGGGTCATGGTCTAAACCCACTTGGAGCATTCTCCTTGCTTACCCTCCCATCTAGGTACTTGATTTAGATTTAGAAATTGTCAAAAAAAATCGCCTTGTCTTATTTATTGTATTGGGTAAAGTACACAAATGATCTTTCGATTATTAAAAGTTATAAAATGGTCACCTGATTATTCATATATTCTAAACTCATATTTTTCTGTTAAAAAAATTAACGACAGTCTAAGCTGGATGTTAACTTGCTGAGTGAGATATAATAAAATTATATTTTAATAATATAAACAGAGATTCGATCCTAAAATACAACTCAAACAGTTATAAATCAAATTTTATCATATCTCAATTAGTAAATTGACGTCCAACTCCGACACCTGTCAAAATTTTAACAAAAATGATAAGCTTGGAACATATGAATAGTCGGTGACAATTTTGTAACTTTTAATAGTTAAAGGACTCAACAAAATAACACCCTATAATTGGAAGACAGTTTGTGTTCTTTATCCTATTTTTAAAAAAAATATAAATTAAAATCACCATAACTAATAATCCTTTTTATTTTATACTGCAATTAGTTTACTTCATTATTATTATTTAAAGAGAAGCTTATTTGAGTTCCAAATCTCTATATATAGACACCCCCTTTTTATATCGCTTCTTATTTCTCTTTCCCTTACTGAAAAACCCAAACCATAGGAAACCAAAGCTTATCGTCTTCTCTCTCACTCTCACTATTTTTTTTTTAAGAAAACATGGGTTTCCCAGTAGCTTACTCTGAGCTTCTTCTTCCAAGATTGCTTCTCCATACACTTTCTCTTCTTTCTTACATTCGCAAATTCATTTCCACTCTCTTCCTCTATATCGGCCTCCCCGATTTCCTCGAACCCGACATTCCCTGGCGTGATTACGCCGCCGAAACCCACGACGGTTCCAACACCACAACCTCCTTTTCTTCTTATTATCCTCCACGAATCCCCGTTTCGGCTCTTCTCATCCGGGAACTCCTACCGGTTGTCAAGTTCTCCGACCTGGTGGACCCGCCGGAAAGTTGCGCGGTTTGTTTGTACGACTTCGAAGGGGAGGATGAGATCAGGCGGCTGAAAAACTGTCGGCATATTTTTCATCGGAGTTGTTTGGACCGTTGGATGGGGTATGATCAGAAAACATGTCCTCTTTGTAGAACATGTTTTGTTCCAGATGATATGCAAGAGACGTTTAATGAGAGGCTTTGGGCTGCTTCTGGGATCCCTGAAGCCCTTGGTGATTATTCTCAAATTTCTGCTTTGTAGTTATAGTTGCCACCTTTAAAAATTCAAAAAAAAAAAAGGTGCTTTTTGTTTATCATCTTCTAATGAGTTGGTTTGTGTATATATACATGAAAATCCGGGAAAATTTCCGCAATGAAAAGAAAATTTGACCAATTAAATCCAGACTTCTTTACTTTATGTTTGTTTTGGTTGTTGCTTTTCATGGGATAATTCCAACTTGATAAGGGTGTTTAAGCAATGGAATTGGCATTTGGACGTTTGATATTAATTATGATAACTTGTTTAGGGTTTCACTAAGTTTTGGTCTGGTCGGTGTGGTTAGAGTTGTCTTAACTCGAATTCAATAAATTTTTATTCGCTTTAATAAAATCGTTTTTCGAAAACAAAAATTAGATTCAGATCAAATCAAAATTTATATAGAATGAGATCAGGTTGAATTTGAATTTAAGGTGAGAAATCTCTGATTCAACTCGGGAATAATTGCTCTAATATTCTTTTTATGTAGTTCTTTTTTCAACTAGGTCATATTAATTCAATATAAAAATAATATTTTTATATTTATGTCGGGTGGAAGAGATATAATTCTCATATTGAAACAGATTCGAATGGAGGAGGTGATATATTTTTCAAATTGGGTCAACTAAAAATCTAACCCAATTCGAGTCGTTTCCATCCTTAGGCGTGATGTAGTACCAATCAAACAAATAATTCATCAAATCGAAAGAAGCATATAATCTCAAAAGGCATTCCATTGATCAAATTCGTGTGGATTTCATTGTTTCATAGATTTTCTTCAACAATAATTAATAGCTGACATATTATACCCTATTGGGGGTTTTCTAGTTTTCTTTAGATGCAGTTGGGAATAGGCAAAAATATACGTATATTAAAGATTTTTGGTTGAAACAAGTAAAATGGGCCGCCTAGCTGCCCGTTCTATCAGCAATTAACAACTCTCCGCTTTCTTGGGGGAATTTTGCAGAAAAATTGTATCTTCCTAATACTTTTATATCTGCTTGGTGATGAAGTCCGCGACGCGTTGACCTCTCTAGGTATGTGCTTTAACTCGACTTCCCAATTTTTCTTTAAGAGTTTCTTATGTGCTGCAGAATGGTAAGTTTTATGTGTTCAGCCGAATTGTTTTTGATAAGGTTGATAGCTTCTTTGTTATCGGATTCCAAAATCACTTTTATTTGTTATCTACATATATTAAAGATTTAAAAGAAAATATCATGGAATTTGAATGTTATATTTGAACTTATTAGAAAATTTTAGTGATTAAAGAGAGTCTTGTTATTATTTGAATTATAAGTTTAAATAATTATGTCGATATGATATATGTACTTTATCAGCGATTAAATTTTTTCTGAGCACATATTACATTATAATTACACCACACTGTAAAAAAAATTGAATACCATATTTTACAACCAATTAAATGATTGGATTGCATTAAATTCTAATTTTTATATAATATTGTTTTTTTATCCTTGAAAGCAAAGAATAACCTACCTTTAAAGTTAGGGTCAATCTCCACCTTACGTTAATTAAAGCAGCTGAGACGTTGCTTTATTCTTTTGGTCTTAGGACATTTTTGACTCTCAATATTTTCTTAAAAATATTTTAGTTTTTTTCCTTAAAAATTCGTTTCCATATTTTTTTATTTTTTTTAAAATAAACTAATTGATAAAAAGTATTATTTTTAATTGTTTTTTAATTTCTTTGAACACATTTTCATATTTTTCTAATTTATATAGTTTTTAATAAGTTAAATACATTTTTATGGTTTTTATAGTTTTTAATATTTTAATTACTTGTAAATATTTTTTAAACGTTTTCTTGACTTTGCACAAAATGATATAATAATTAATATCAAAATTGACAAAACGTAAAATAGTTTATTTGAACTTAATAAATTTATATTTTATGTCAATTAATTCAATTTGACAAAAAAAAAAAAAGAAACTCAAAGACTAAGGAGATGAAAAACATGTAAGAGCTAAAATGAATTTATTTAAAAGTTCAAGGACAAAAATGTTAGTAGACTTCTTATTTCGAAGGTAAAACTTCCATCTATTTCTCAAAATAAAATAAAAAAACTTTTTTTTGCCCTTATGATAAATTTGGATAGCTAGATGTTATGAATGCAAATAAGAAAAATGAAATGTAGGAGTTTGTTTATTGCTCAAACTGGAAAACATGCATTCCAACAACAGAAAGACATGAGGAATATTGAATCACTAGAGATAAATTCTCACAATATTTATAGTCTTTCTTAAAATATTCGATTACTATTTACGCTGACATGGCTTGAGCACAAAATCATCACATTTGGATGGAAGTTTCCTCATTCGAGACCCACTATTAGCTGCGGCAATAGGACTGTTGTTACCACTACAACAAAACTGTACATTTGCGGCGGTTTTTTATCTATAGTGGCGTTTTTAAGCGCTACAAAAAACACATGCGGCGTTATGACAAACGTCGCAAAAAGCACCGCTGAAAATAGCGTCGCTAAAGTTCGCGGCGTTTGGTAACAAAAAACGCCGCAATAGGTAACGATATATAGTGGCGTTTGTCCAACAAACGCCGCAATAGGTATTGATATTTAGCGGCGTTTTTCCAACAAACGTCGCAATAGGTGTTGAGATTTAGCGGAGTTTTTCCCACAAACGCCGCAATAGGTGTTGAGATTTAGCGGCGTTTTTTCCACAAACGCCGTAATAGGTCTTGAGATTTAGCGGCGTTTTTTCCACAAACACCGTAAAAGGTCTTGAGATTTAGCAGCGTTTTCCCCACAAACACCGCAAAAGATCTGGTATATAGCGGCGTTTTTTAGAACAAACGCCGCAAAATGTCATATCTATAGCGGCGTTTTAAGATACAAACGCCGCTAATTACCTCTCTATAGCTAAAAGAAATTGATTTTGCAAATTAAAACTAATTTGTCAAATGTTGTTTTCTACTCTTTTATTACTCAAATTTAACCTGTAGCATTTTCCAATAAACTTGACATCCATAACAACAAACTTAAAATCCATAACAAGAAAAATGAAATCCATAATAATAAATCAAAGTTTACATTAACGTAAAATATAATGTAGTTCAACATTATTAACTATAATAAACAATAATATCTAAGATATTTTGCTTCTAATCTTACACATTCTTCAAAACTCTTCGTCACAATGAGGCGCTTAAATTCAAAGAGATAAATCCAGTTTATATGGGAAAACAATGATGCAGAGCTAGTATCGTCCTGTCATTTCTTGCACAGATATTTTGCTTCATGAGGTCTTACTCCAATTGGCATGCCACTTGAAAAGACCCCATCCATGGCAATGCAAACCCGATCTCTAGTTTCATATCCAAATAAATCATCAGTTTATATGAAAATCCATTATATCTTACGTTAAAAAAGTTAACAACACATTTCTGCATGGTCAGTCCCAGCAGTCAACAACTCTATGGCATGGGCAACCATCATGATGATAAGCAAAATATAGATATAGATCTTAATAATTGTGCAGAAACATCCAAGCTTGAATTTCATGATAACTTCTAACAGCTTATCGGACCAAACATATTTTAAATCAATAGCACCCAGAAAAAGGCTCCAAAACTGCATTCCTAACAAACAGAAAGATATAAAGATGGAAATATGACAGCTTACCAAGGACCAAATCCTTTCAAGCATTCTGCTAAAACAACCTGAGAACAGACAAAAGCACAATCTAACTTAAAGATAAGGAAGCAAAAAGAGAATTTAACGGAGATTGTAAATTAATATTTTATCCCCATTTGTCACCTCAGTATTTTCCCCAAGAATTTCAATTATAAGCCCCATCAACTTATGTGCAGAGGCCATTGGTTTCAATTGAATGCTTTTCTGTGCCAAACTGTACATGCTTTCTAACCCCTAACAGAAGAAAATAAATAAACGAGATATGTAATATAAGGAAAGTACATACCACTGTGAATGGCCTGATGTATAACAAGTGAGAAATATACAATTCTATCCAATGGCATGTTGCAGAGCAGAGACTATTAGCATTACCCAACATTATTTGTAACATACGGTAACCTACAAAACATTCGAGGAAGAATAAAAAGGGAGTCGACCGATGCTTTTTAACAGTAAATTTGGTATTTGTTTGCGCAATTGAATTTACCCTAGTTTCAAAAATGTATTGGAGTTTTCGTAGTCGTGTTGATTACCGTTGGAAGTACAAACGTTGGTCACCGACTCCGACGAGTGACCTTCCTCAAAGATGTTCTCCGAGTCACCGGCAACTTGTCTTCGACCCTCGGATATCTGCAATACCTGCAGTGATGAAAGCTTGTAGCCTATTACATATACTTATAAATATAATAACTACTGGAAAGCTTAGATTCAAGTACTTAACAGATCAAAATTCAGCTCATAAAACTATGCCATTCAGTACAGTAGTGAATTGCAATCCATTATAGAGAGGACATGGACTTTGGACTCAAGATTTCAGGTTATCAATGTTTTCAACTTTCAAAGAAAACTAGTTTGGTCTATCAAGAAAAAATTAATTAACAATTGAAAATTTGCACAACTCACTGTGTGCATATTTCACTCTTCACAGATGGATGAAGATTATGTCCAAAAACACCAAAGGTTTGGTGCAAGAAGCTGTTGTGACTAAAAATGGTAATTTCCCTCTCTTCTCGTGTCCACAGCCTGCCACAAATGATAAATGGATATAGTAAAAGAAAAGGTTGGGAGGATATGAAATAAACATCGAACGAAGTAATTTTACTTCGAACTGTAAACTAGCCATTTCTTTCATTCAGATTAATACAGGGTCAAAATATGGGTTTGATATGTATGCTCATTTTTTTCTAAAAAAATCCATATGTTTGGAGGACCATACTCCCATATAGTTAAAGCAGATACAAAGGGACCACTCACCGGTTCAAGAATTTCATTCCCCTGGTTGCAATTTCTTCATTCTTTTCTCTACAGTTAGCTTCCCACAAATTATCCTCATTGTTGTCAATCTGAAGGAAAAAATTCCACCAATTAACCGATATTGAAATTGCAATTATAAAAAATTCCAATAAAGGTAAAGTGAATGAGAATCATTAAATTCGTAAGACAAGTTACGTAACAAGGAAAAATCAATTGCAGGAAACAGAGGCCAATATTCGCTGATGCTTTTTCTTCTATCACATGGATGGACTCCCTGTTGTTCAATGGTTCAAGGAGGAAAAGGAAATGAAAATCAGATGAGAAAGGCATGGTATGCAAAGTTCAACCTGCAAAATGAATAAATTCTAGGCAATCAATATTAGCTGGTCGTAGCCACCTGTGCTGCGCTTCCATGAGTATCTGCTCAATATCTGCACCCAACAAGATCCATTTTTTCAACAAAAATTAACACCCCTTGAGCTTAACAATTTTTCTTCTGCATAATAGGATTCGAATGAAGCTATTTATTCCATCTTTCAAACCAAACCTCACAAAATAAAAATAAATTAAAGCCCACCTCGTGAACTAAAATATTAGCAAAATGGAGCAAACAGAACATCAAATGCAGTAAATTAAAACATGACAAAATATAGCAAGAAAAAAAGAGCAAGATTCAACTACCACTAAAAACCCAAAATGAAAGATAATAGAAGAGCCATTTCCTGCTCCAGTCCTCGAAGATCCTCTATGCTTGCATCGTTCAAACATTCACCCATGTTTTGCCTGCCATCGATCCCATCAAATGTACAAAAATAAAATAAAATTAATATTATTTATATACATTAAAACAAAAATTAGAAGAAATATAAGGTTTCAATTCAAGTTTTTCAAAAAAGAAAAAGAAAAGTAGAAATCTAGGGGTTTTGAAAGTGATACGAAGTGGAAGGACTGATGAACTCGTGGATTTTTCCAGAACTGGAAATCATGATGATGGAAACCCTCGCATCGCAGAGAACGGTGAGCTCATTAGCTTTCTTGAAGAGACTGTTCAGGTTCTCAAAAGCATGAGGCCACTGAGAGTTAAGTTTAGGGCTAGGGTTTGCTAAATTTAGTTAAATGTGGTATATATATAGCGTTTGTATAAAAACTACTAAAGAATGTTTATTTAGCGGTGTTTGTACTTAAAATGCCTTACAATATTTAGCGGCGTTTATATAAAAGCGCCGTTAAAGTACGAGTATTTAGCGGCGTTTATATAAAAACGCCACTAAAGTATGAGTCTTTAGCGACATTTGTATATAAACGCCACTAAAGTACGAGTCTTTAGCGGTGTTTTTATATAAACGCCATTGAAGTATGAGTTTTTAGCGGTGTTTGTATAAAAACGCCACTAAATCACGAGCCTATAGCGGCGTTTGCAATAAAAACGTCACTAAAGTACGACTCTATATCAGCGTTTATACAAAAACGCCACTAAATGACAGTCTTTAACGTCGTTTATATAAAAAAGACACTAAAGTACATTCTTTAACGGCATTTTTATAAAAACGCCGCTATAGTACTAATTTTTAGCGGCGCTTATTCTAAAAACACCTCTACAAATGCCGCTATTTACCCATTTTGCTGTAGTGTACCTCCTCAGTATTTGTCATAACATTGCCTTCCCCATTAGTAGAAACCTTGTCCTCAAGGTTTAGAGTCGGAAATGAATTGAGCAATTGGTCCTTATCTTCCCAAGTAGCGGCGGTTACATCAAAATTCTCCCAGTGAACTAACCATTGCATAACCGAACGACCACTACGAGTGATAACACGAGTAGAAGCAATGGATTCTGGCTGTAACACCATGGTAGCAGTAGAGTCAACCAGTGTAATGGAGTAATCTGTTGGTTCGACGCTCTCACACATGTACACAATAAAGAAACATGAAAAACAAGATGAATCTATGCGGATGCTGGTAATTCAAGATGGTAAGCAATATGACCAATACAACGGAGGACTTTGTAAGCACCAAAATATCGACGATCTAACTTGTGGTGGCATTGAAGTCGAATAGAATTCTGACGGTGAGGTTACAACTTAATATAAACCCAATCACTTTAGTTATTGGGATTTATAATTATTTTATAAACTTTCTAAATTTAATTATATATTAACCAAAAAAATCTTTGGGTACGTTTAGCACCTAAACTATAACTTTTATTTTATTTTAATATCTAAATTTTAATTTTTTTCCAAAATCATATCTAACGTTTAATTTATTTTCAATTTGACAACCAGCCACTAAAAACTTAACAATGATGTTGATGTGTCACAATAAGATAACGCTATATTATCATTTAATTTTTTTTAAATGTCACATCAGTAGTTTTGTTAATATTTTTAACGACAGATACCAAATTGAAACCTAAACAAAACGTTAGCTATTATTATGAAAGAAAAATAAAGTTTAAGTACAAAAAAGGAACAAAAGTAATAATTTAGATACTAAACATGTAGTTTACCCAAAAAAATTTTCTGGGCGCTAGAGCCCCTCCAACCTATAAAGTAGATCCATCCATGCCTACAAGGAATCCATCATCAACATGAATAAAATTTCTAGCCCCTCCCACATCTAAATTAGATCCATCCATGCCTACAAAGAATACATCATCTACATGTATAAAAATTTCACTAACAGAGTAATTAGGGTGGTAGAGTGAGTCCAAATTAAAATTTTCAAGTTTGAAATTTATTTAAAACCCACTTTAATAAAAAAATTAAAAATCTGAAATCTGAAAAGGTCTTTGTACGAGAAATTACATACTAAAAAAATTAAAATTCGATCTCAAATTTAATATCTAACTTTTAAGTTATTTCTCTTTTGAGATAAATCTCAAAATTATACATAAATTTCAATATAACATAATTTTATGATTGCATGTCATAAATACAAATAATTATATCAATTCAATATAAAAATAAATAACTAAATTATTTTTTTAAACAAAAGTATACAGTTGAACCAAAATCAAATTTTTATGTGCATAATTGAACAAATATTAAAGTTTCACATGCATAATTACATTAAATCGAAGTTCATGTATCATATTGCATACTAAATCAAAACTCGTGTATAATTTTGATATTTACCCTTTTTTTATTCATTGCATTTCACTTGAGTTACTTTGACTTCTGGTCACCCAATTATCAACGTTTTTCTCTTTTGATCACTAAACCATCAAAAGTTACAATTATTTGACTTGTCGAATTTGCTTCTCTTAATCATGTTAATTTAGTAACAAAACATTACAACTTATAAATTGAATATAATAAAAAAATTAATACTTAATGTTTATACGTTATATCATTTTAATCCTATTTTAAAAATACTTGCCCCTCAACATTCATACATCAAATCAATTTAATCCTTTGAACCCTTTCCCAAATCCACATTGTATCAATGAATGAACATGGTCCAATTGGTGCAATCAGTAATGGGCACTTTTATTCCAGTCCCAATTTTCTCAAAGCACAATTCCCATTCAAGGTTCTTGCTCTCAAATACCAAAGCCTCATCGCAATAATTTTTTTCTAAAAAAAAGAGAGAAATTCATTAAATTTCAGTAGCATCGAGGAGTATTATTTCCTCGATACATTCCGATTCATCCAAATAAAATAAAAAAATTGATTCTCGATAAAATCCAATTGACGAGGGCACGAATAGTTCTGTTCATGGTACATCTAAGGGACAGTGAACTGCAAAGGGTCTCACGAGCTTCATTGAACAACAATTCAATCACAAAAATATTTGTAGTCGTGTTTGTCAACCGGATAACTAGGGAGACGGCATCTCCATCAATGGTCGCCCGTTCCCATCCGTTATCAATTGCAAAAAGCAATTCCACGATGAAAATAACAGCCTCGGTTGATTCGGCAGTATGAACCCCACTGAATTTACGAGCAACCCCGCCAACAAGAAGGCCACGATGAGTCATTCAAATGGCAAAAGCTAAAGGTTAACATAATCCTTGTTATATATTTCCAAGGTTGGAACATAGATTTTACTTTAGTCAGAAATGGTCATAGGTCGAATTGCGCACAAATTTCCAAACTGTTCAACAAGCATTCAACAGGGCCATGCTGCAACTAAAA